CGTTCAACTTCATCTCCTGGAATTGAAGTCTCATGATGTTCAAAGGTGATTTCCCCTCTTGGTCATCTTTGGATGGAGATACTATATTTTTCTTAAACAATACGTTGCTTGTTTGAATACATGTATACACTCCTATAATCAGGCGAAGTAACATTTTGGCCTTGTGTGAAAATTCAACTAATTGATTGATAAAGTCAAATATTTCTTCACATCATTACCTGATGTCCCATTTCCGTATTTCATGACCGTGAGTATTTTTCGTCACAAGCTTGTGGAAGAAAATACGCAGTCACCTATTTGAAACCTCTAATTTGTCCTTTTCAAATTAGGTTTTCTCCAATTTCAGCAGAAAAACGTTCCTTTTCATCTGCACATGCTCAAATTCACGCATCCGTGTTGCAAACAAAAAAACGCAGCCCAAAATAGAATTTATTTTCTACCAGTGAAATTGTCAGTAATCGTTGTTTTGGTATCAAATTAAAGCTTGTAATTGAAAATTTTATTCGAAGCTCGTGTTGCGTTACGGAGATATTTTCAGTTGCGCTACACAACTCATAATTTATTTGTCCAATGGAGGTTTACACGGGGTTCATCTTGCAAGTGTATTTGCCATCACCGAATTCACTTGGTTCTTTGCTTTTTTGGAACTTCTTTCTAGTTTTATACTCGATGAAAGTGAAGCTTATTTCAGAAGGTGATGGTTGTTGTCATTATGCAATTTCAGAGTTTGTATAGTTTTTAAGTTTCACGAGTTTGCTTTAGAGAAAACAACTTCGGTTAAATTTGTGAGTCAATGTGAAACAAGGCGCTGGCCTTGTTTACCTCTGGTATATTAGCCACTTCGAACCATTGCAGGATTCTGTTTGTTTGGCGATGGAAAGTCAATGAGATTTCAATATAATATATACAACAGAACCCTGTTTAGCAGGAGCCCCATTCTGTGAATGTGATTCCACGTGTTTACGGTGTGAAATGGCGTAAACATAGCGTTTTGATTGTTGTAAATGCCAATGGATAGAACAAGCAAAAGCAGTTGACTTACATATGATCGAGGTTATCTCCATCATGCATTAGGAAATTTAAATTAAGCCTTCAGGTTTGAAAAGATAACACTCTAAACTTTGATTTGACACCAAAAAACAATAATTCATGACAATTGCTTTAGGAGAAATTTCATGTTACTTTATTTTCGTGAAACGGGCCAGGAAAGCCTATATTCACGAGACACTTCATTAGAAAAATCCAAATCTCTTCCCTGATAAAGTACGGTACCGGTGTCTGCAGTATTCTCCCCTGAAATGATTTGCTCTACTTCATACAGAAGAAACAGTCATTGAAAGACAATTTTATACACTTTGTTGGTTAATTTTGTAATGAAAATGTTCAATGGCCAGAGAGCTCGCCTGAAGGCACTGGCACGTTTACTGATATTTTAAATGTTCAACATGTGTTAATGAAATAACGTGGAGAATGGCCCAGGCACGTGATGGATTTTTAAGGCGTATTATTATAGGCTATGCAGCACACAATAATGTACCGGTATTTTTACACGTTCTCACATTCCGCGCACTTGAGACATGATGGTTGAATAGTCTCTATAGTTGACTATATCTAAAAAAAAACCTTGATCCGTCTCTAGAAGTTAATGATGTATATTTACTCAGAGGTTAAATATCATTCATTTTCCATAGTGACACACATGGTAGTGACTATCATGCAGCTCGCAACTATGATGCCATATATGCTCTACGCCGTGAATAAGGGGCCTGATTGGGCCATCGCGATCAGTGATCCTTCAATGGAGCCAACCAGCTTTGGGATTGCTGCTCAAGATCCAGACCCATGTGAAACAAACAGACCTACAGCTATGCTGCTTATACTGTTATGAATCAAGCTGAAAGGGGGGATCCATTAGACGCATTATATTCCTTGCAAAAGTGAAAGTGGATTTTCGAATAAAAAAGGCATTTTCTGCACGCTGCACCAGCTGTTTGAGGCCTCCTGGACTACTTTGTTTGTTTATGCACATGACCGTGGAATCAACAGGGTATTTAGCAGTAGATGCTAGTGTGTAGGAAGGGTCGCAAAACGAATTTTAAACTAACTTCATCTGCCCTTTACCAGAAAATGGTTTAAATGGTTCAACAATTAGCAAATTTGATTTTTTGCACGGTGTCACACCTGAAAACCACGGGTACAGCCAAACTTATGATCGATCTTGCAAGAGGCAAGCTCGCGCCGCAACTATGGTTCGACCGCCAGTCAATAATTGCTTCGCCCAATACTGCACCACTCGACGGACCTCCAACGAACTAAAGGCCGGTTCATTCTGACGATTTCGCAAGCGAAGCGAGTTGACTTGGGCAGTGAAAATGTGCGAAATCGAAGTACGAATATTTGATCTGATTGTGACGTCACAATGTGGCTTTGGCGCGAAAACTGAATTAAACGGCCTTATTTTTTTCGAAATCGACTGTCCTATAACATTTCATCCTTGGTTGTATCTCTCCTTGTGTTCTGGCTGTCTGTCATCTACAGTTATTTTCATGTCGGTGGTTATCTCCGCACTTAATTGAAAAATGTTTCTATTATCATTACTAGCAATGCGACCGTGCGCCAAATCCTGGTTCCAATGATCGATTAACTTTAATCTTTAAACTTTAAACTTTAATTAACTATCCATCGTTGGTGTGACGGTCGGTGGAGCCATAGTGGTCATTTTGAACGTGGCCGCCAGACATAATGATAATTGTGATATTTTCTCATTTTTGGAATTGTACTGCTCCCCCTTCTTCCTCCACAAATGAGCCCTCAAACTTTTCTTGCGGGAAACGAAATGAATCCACTGTTCGACCCCATCCACCCACCTGACAAGAGATCTGAACTGAGTCTAAGTGATAAGCAGTGCAAATAAACTAAATGGCAAGGGGGGACAAGGCTGTTTTATTGGCTGCTGTAGCATTCACACTTTCGTCAGAACCGGCAAAGCTATAACAAACTGCCTGTCAAAATAAATCGAACCTTGCATTCGGAAGGCAACCTCGTTGTGAATTGCGGTGACCTTAGGCTGTAGGCCGGTAAATGTTACCCGTGCCGAGCTCACTCAGGCGCTGCTCATATTGGAACATTACGTTCAGCAGAAATCCATAACCTCAAATGCCAAGTTTGATATCAAGCATCCCGACATTTGTTCCTCTCCCGCGCAGTTTATCTCGCCTTCAACAATCGCCAGGGTGAGGTAATGCAACCTCAAAGTGGTTCATCTTTCGTGAAAATGAAAATGTCAAGCGTGACGCGTTGATTGCTCTCTAGGGATCCCGAGTGGGCAAATGGGGGAAACCGAATAACTCGATGTTGTTGCGGGTCACAAGCACCTCGATATTGGCCTGATCAGGACGGCGGCTCTCACCCGCCTCGTAAATTTGAAAGCGCTGCATTTCAACAAGTAGCCGAATATTGGCTTCTGACTGCAAACGCAAGTCACCTTACAAGGCAATCATAACGTGGTCATGCGGGCAGTAAGCCCATTTACGATAGGCGAACCGGTTTTTCCCTTTCTTTTAAGGGAAAACGTTTTTTTGCGTGGGACCATAAATTATAGGCCTGCACTTCTTTGGATTGTAGCCTGTATGGATCATCCAGGCCATCTACAAAGCTGATACCATTTTCATCAACACGGGTTGGAAGTTGAGAATTTTTTGTCAATTTGGTTCATACTGGGGATTCCTTCTCACAATTAATGCATCCAGGTTTGTTTTCGTGAAAACAGGACAGTGTGCGCTGTAGTTCTTTTGTTTAAAAACTCCATTTTACCAGCCAAAGTTGACACTCAAATTAAAGATTCATGGAAGCCAAGAAAGACATTTAATTTGTATGGCCTTTCCGTTTGTTTGATGAGAGTCAATCCATTTCAGTGTTTTGGGCTTTTATTGGATTGGCTATTGCATATTTCTTTCACTACATGATCTGCATGATATACCTGCTAGAATGATTCCTTTGCATAATGATAGGCCTACTGTTTTAAGTTTGTCCAATTATTGAGTTTATATGAAATCAAGGAAGGATATTTTTCTCGTGAATGTGTGTACAAGTACCGTTCGTTTTTCTTAATATCTGTTATTTTTGGATCATGTTAAATGAAGTGAATCAGGAAAGAAAACAAAAGCGGCAAAAACAATTTGATTGGAAGCATGTTGAAGTTGTTTGCTGGTTGATTTAGGCCTCTCAATGGAAACAATATTTGTAATTTAAATGCATTGCATAAATAGCTAAATCGAAGGTCACTTTTGAGTTTCAAATGGGTTTGATTATAATCATTACGGCTCAAAGATGGTCAGTACTTTCTTAAAATAAATATTACATTTGCGCTGAGAACTTCTGAATAGTATTTGCCAACTGGTAAATGGAGCTTTTATATGCATGGATCACTCCTTTTCCAGCTGAAGGTCCTCCATTTTAAGCAACCGATGTTGGCTTTTTAAGTTGGACATCATGAGAAACGTTAGGTTTCTTTTAGCTTGACTTTGCACTTGCGAATTATCTGAGTACAAGATTAATGTGTCCAGCCCTTTAATCCTTTTCAAAATTTGAGGAACTATGTTTTGTACGACGATTTTTTTTAGAACTTCCTTTATTCTGAAACGCCCTCTAAGAACTAGAAGTGTGGAAGTGCCTCATTTTGCAAATGGGAGCATTCAGCCGAAACCGAAATGCTTGGAGACCATGGGCACCGAATTCTTACAAAATCTGTCACGAAAACCTGTCAATTTTCTCATTAATGGACTAGGCTACAACTTGAACGCATAATAACGACTGCATTAGAGTGTTTTCTTGCAGTACAGATAAAAATTGTGTGGACGAGCCTTCCCCTTTAAAATGTTTTATTGTCTTTAGAAATGCTACATTGTCCTGAAGATATACCGTGAGAATTAAGGCATCTTATTAAGGTTTTGAATTTGAAAGAAATTGATTTGTAGTAATTTTTAATTTTTCCTCGGCAGATTTCCCATGTCAAAGACGTCGAAACGCTGATTGGTCTGCAAGTTCGGTCCGTGTTGTGCCTACCAATCAGAAACAGTGAGGATGACATCATTGGTGTGTGTCAGGTCAGCAACAAAATTTTGGGGTCAAAGTTCACCGAGCACGATGAAAAGGTACTGTTAAGACTTGCGTGGCGGAAAAGTAGAATTTATGACTCTTTATCTCATACAACGCACAGTTCTCGGTGGCCAGGATACCCACCTCGCCACGCTGCTACTTTGTGCTAGCCTACACAGGCAAGGCTCTTAGTGATAATTAAATCGTCAAAGTTTGAAGACTCAACCAATTTCCAAAATTAAGTCTTATTAAGTTGTAGACCTAGCTAGCCTACTTACTTTTTAAGTTTCATTTAAAATGCAGCATCAAGTGTCACGCCTACCGTACCGCTAGTCTATAGTAGGCGTCTGGTCTACTGCAGAAGGCTGCCTAGCCTTGTACTAGTAGTAGTACAGTACATGTACCGGTATGTACATACCTCTCAAATTGTGGCGTACTCATGGTGCTTGAGCAATATTAAAAGTTGTACTTGGATATACATGTAGGCCTATGACTCATGAGTAGTGGAAATAATCAGTCATTAGAATTTACAATTTTTTAAGAACTTCTTAAAAGTTGATGTGAGATTTTCAGAGATTTGTTCGCCACATTAGAAACACTCAGGTGAATTTGTGCCCAATTTGGACGTTACCATTTTGTGATTCAGGATCTCAAAGGCAAAAAGTGCCAGTATTTAACTGAATGAATTTGAAGGTTTCATCGAAGAGGTTTGGTAGCACTGCATGAAGAAGGTCAAGGGAAATAGAAGAGACTCTTCTGTACTAAAAACAACGCTTTCCGTACCACCTTTGACAAAAAGAGCCCCAAAAGGGAGGGGTGGTATTGAAGTAAAATCTTTCACTTTCCTGTCCATGAATAGGGGCTTATGAGGGTGGGCCCTCCAACATTTTCCTTTGTTAGGAAGGTTTGGACCAAGTTTTAAGAACAAAATCTGTTTCCATCCCCAAAATAAGTCTTGGGAAGGAGTTCTATATCGGACATTTCTGGACATCCGGTGCACATATGCCAGTAGGCTTGTCTGAAAAATTTGAAGCATTTTCTAAGTAAATGTTTCAATTGTTTCCTTGTTGAATTTTACTCTTTTTGGTTTCCGGTGGCTGATTAATTACTGCTGGAACTCTTCCCGATTTCAACATGTGTTGTTCCAACAATACAGAACAAAATGGCCGGGTTTGATGCTGTCTGAATTTCCTGATTAGGCTAATATGATTTTATGCTGATGTAGTGATACAGATGTCAGTCCAAAATTATGTGTCACGGTACATACTTTTTCACCATGGTCACTGTGGTTGGCAGTCGACCATTGTGCCTACATCAGTTGTTGGTTTGTGGAGTGCTTTGTGAACTTTTACTTCTCCAGTCTGGAAGAAACTTCATCCAGAGCCCTGTATCATAAAGAATCTGTCGACTGTTACCACATATACAATGTATGTACATGTACCTGAGGTGGTTCTCAATCTCTTTCTAGATTTCCAGTGTTGCTTGGCCAATGCTATAGCTGTTGAGAAACATACATTGCAGCTGCCATAAAAGCAGTCATTTCCACTCTCAACAATGCACCATTGGTTTGCTGTAGCGGTGTTTAATTTGATTATGCTGTTCTGCGGATAGAATTTATTTACTTGGGGTAAAAAAAAGAAGAGGCTTGAATAGGATGGTGGTTTATTAGATATTGGCGCTTTGGCTGCTTGTTAGCTCTGCTGGTCAGAAATTGTTTGAAGTACCCTGTTTGTCACGTACTCACCCGTGGCAAAAATAGGTTTTATTGGGTTGAATGTTCATAATTGTGATAAGTTGTGGCCGCCAGATAAAATGCCGGCAGGCAAGCTTTGTTTTGTGATGTCCTAGATATATACAGTTTAAAAAGATTCCAACTTTAGCTCCAATTTTTTCAAATGAACTGAAGCTGCTTCAAGGATTTTTTTCTCACGATGTTTTTATTCAGTAACATGATACATATACGATGCCTGTAATAACGGACACAGTGCTCATCAGAGAAATAAGGGCCCAAATGCCGAGTAATTAAGAGCCAGTGCCAGTCACTGTACTTTAGCTGTCCCTGCCATTGATTTGATTTGAAATTGGTGTGCCCTAATTGCTTGCCCCCTTTTTTTTTTCCTTTTTTTTTCCTGCTCTGATATCTCCTCCGATTGCAGTGGCTCAAAACAATGGCACGCATGCAATTGGGGTTCGCAGACTGTCGGTCGTCGATGTAATATATACAGCAAAGCCGTGCTCTGCTGTCTTGATGATGCCAACAGTTGGAATACTACATATTGATGACCCTAAGCAATAATGACAATGGTTGCAAGTCATAAATCTCTGAGACCCCACGGTTAAACCTGAATGCTCTCGGATTTTTTCATTGAGAAGGAATTGATAGGCAGGTTTTAGTCAAAGCTTCAATCGGGGCCCTTTTCATGATGGCCATCTCGAAAAGTGTTTATGCTATTCCGTATTTCACTACAACCATTGTGTGTCAATCAATATTGTTTCCATTTTTTTGTTTGGCTGTTTTATAACATACCTGTGTCTTTTTAGTTTGTATGTGCCAATGCATACCCATGAGCGAATATCTAATATCTTCCCAGAGGGAGAAAACCTCAATGTTGCATTGATATGTGCACAGAAAAAAAAATGCTGGAATTTTTTATGTGTTATTGTCCCAGTCTTACTTTTCTTTGTTGATTCCTTGTTGTGTAAGTACATGGAAATTGGGCAACAAGTGGTGTACTTAATATCAACAGTACGCACTTGCAAACGAATGGAGTACGCATGCATATTGGTTCTCGCACTGTTTCTCTTGCTGACACCTTTTACACACGTGACTGTGACACACTCTGTTTTGAGTGTGAACAGTTTTGATTCGCCATTTGTACACAAAGTTAAAACAAAGTGATCAGTGCCTTTGCTGAATGGCACCTCAGCAACAGCACCCTCAGATGTCCAGAAAAACATAGTCAGTTGAATGCATTTAAAAAGTACTTTTAAAACCCCCAAAGAGGTAACATCCTTTCCATGCATTGCAGGAGCATAGAGTTTAACCTAAAGTGCACAAAAGAGTTTATCGCTTTGATCCTGTGAGGCATTTCGCCAGCAGGCCATTATCATTTCTCAAAACCAAAAACATGCAGTACAACAAAACTGAACAAAAACCAAACCAAACAAATTAAGGATTCTTCCCCCAAAGTAAGATGGCAAACCTTTTCTTTGAATAAGGTGAGCAAACCCTCATCCCTGAAACCAGGAACATTACAAAATATGTTGAAAGTATTCTCGATTTGTCCTACCCTTGTCCAGATGAATTTACCTGAATAAATTATCTCTGCATGTATAAGCTTGTTATTGTAGGGCCTTGGTTTTGAAATGGTTCATTGATGGTGTTTCAACGTGGAAAGCTGTCATTTATTAAGTATATGTAGGCCATGCTTTTTACCGTTCTTGACTGGATTCATTGCTCTCTAACATCGGTGCACTCTCCTCCATAACAGCAAGATACGAGGACATGTAGCAAAGTGCTGCCACAAGTTCAATTATTTTTCATTGCAATTAAACACTTTTTCATACAGTGCCATGTGAAATTCTGAGTGTCAGAATGTTTTAATTACATTGCATGTAGCAATTCCATAAAAGGGAATTTGCTTCTCTGCCCATTTTGGTTCATTTTGGTCAGTGAATTAGTCCAAGAAAACCATTGTGAAGGGAATCATACGCGCATTACTTTCCTTTATTCAAAGCAACAACTTTTTGTGTTCATGAACACGCAGAGCCTCTCCTACACACTTCAAAGGAATTTGCATTCCAACTAGATAGCAATGGACAAATCCATAGGAAATGTAATATCTTGCTTTGTTCTTCCTAAGGTCACAAACCCCCTTAGAACAATTAATGCAATTTCGGTTGAATACAACATAACCTGAGATCTGATACTGCACAACCACATGGGTTGGTCCAAGACACACTCATGCATTTACATGTACAAGCTCTTACCCAATTGATGAAGTGAAGCCTACTAGCAAACCATTTAAACTCAGGGGCCCTGGGAGTATTTTGTGAGGTCAGCTGAACAGTGCACCGAAGTAATGAATCATCCGGCAAAAGCTGGGAAATGTACACTATACCAGATACTTGGCTTGATGACATACATGTACTGTTACATGTCTCCTTACCCATGTGTTTGCATGCACTATGAGTGTGTGAGCAGTTAATACATGTAGTTATGCGGAATTATAGAAAAGAAGTACATGTACACCCATATGTAAATATACATACCTACTTGCATGCTTGTAGTGGAACAGTCCTAATATGCAAAATAGGCTGACTCTCTTATGATTGGTCTTTCATGTGGTGAAATAAGGAACTTCTAGCCAATCCTGCTTGATGTTGTAAACTTGCTAAATGTGTACCCTAACTAATGCTACTTCTGCATAAACAAAGCAAATGCTCATTTGATAGATGAATTCTGATTAAATCATGACAACATTTTTAATCTGAGTAAACCAAATCTTGAAAGTTTTATTTGATTTCTGGCTTTGCTCTGCAGTTGATGGAAACCTACTTGACCTTTTGTGGGATAGGAATCAACAACGCTCAACTTTTTGAGACATACATGAAGGAATATGACCGGAACAGGGTAAGTGCCAAGGTTTAATGTATTTTTGATTTTGGAACTGGTAAATATTTCTTCCGGTAATTTACACCTCGGCCCCAGCTTTTGTGGTAAATGCACATATACATTAAATTTAGATGGTAGATTTATTGATTTAAGCTGAACAAAATTAGATCTTGGAGTCACTTCTGATGCTGGAAAATGTCGAACCTGCCTTACAAGTTTTCCCCTTTAAATGAGCACAAGTGTGGAGTGCCGTCTGAGCATTGTCTATGTTGTGCATAACTTCTCAATCTGTGAAGCAGTGAAAACAGACGTGAAAGTTACCATTGCAAGAACAAATTGTTGATGTTATTATACACGTTGTCTAAGGTGACGAGTAACACTGCCGCTGGTAATGGATGTTGAGTGCTCAAAAATGATGTGGACATTGATGGGCTGAAAGTAGTTTGTTATTCTAAGAATAAATATTGATCCTATAATTGTGAAAATATCTAGGTTTGATGTGTCAAACTGAACGTACATGTACAATGTACATGTGGATCAGTGAATATCACGGACATGACACTTCTAATTTTTACGCTGTTCTGTTGAATCTGCTCATCCCTACTGCCCCTAAAGGGCACTAAGATGGCTAATGCTTTTCACAGAATTTTGTAAAAGAAACATACTTCAAAATATACAGATGTTACAAAGCATTGTGGGTTCCTTGCTATGTACAGTACATGTACCGTACATGTATGCAGAGACTGGTATGTACACACATTAAATTTGAATCAAATCTCATACACTCAGTTATCTGATTGCACATGAACATAACACTTCAAATTCTTCAGACCAAAGACACTGTTGGGATACCTCTGGATTCGGGGCAAGCTTTTGCTTAGTTATGGTAGATAAGGGACACCTTTCACCAATACACTGTTTTCAATGGAAGGACCATTCCAGAGATGGTCGCTATGCAAAGCTTGCCTTGAATCATGACATACTGTACTATAGCAGCAGCGTCTTTAGTTTGGGGAATTCAAATTGTTATGTCTTTGTGCAATCAGATTCTTCAGTGTACCAGATTTTATTCAATTTTAACTCACAGACGGCTTATTGGAGACCTTTAGGTAAGGAAAATACACGTATTACAAAGACTTCAAGGCAGAGGTACCGGTGCTGTATAACAAAACAATGATTGATTGCTTTGATATGGGACATGATGTTTTAACACCCTCGGGTATGCATAGCACCTTCGGCTGCACCTCAGTTGCTATGACACCCTCAAGTGTTAAAATATGGTGTCCCACATCACAGCAGCCAATAAGTGTCAAACAGAAATGGGTTTCCAATCTACCACACATGTATACAGATACCCGGTACATGTACATGTGTGTGCATGGCTCCTCCACGTTGGCCAGTCATCAGCAGATTTGAGCAGAGCACCAGTGTGAAATTGGACGCAGGCCATATTTCTCGCCACTGATACAAGTGATCAGCACCAACGATGTGATTTATTTTTTTGCAGTGAAGATGTGTTACACTCGCTGGCACATTTGCAGTTTGTTATCCTGTGATAAATTCTGCCTCAGAAAATAAATATACGGTTAGTGTGCTCAGCATTGCACACTCAGCGTGAAACAGTCAGAGGTGCTTTTGGCCGGAAATTTATGCATGGCAAAGGGCACAATTTACAGAGTACTTGGATACTACCATACATGCACATTGGGTGTCAGTTAACAACTGCATGCAATATTGTATAATATTTAATACATGTGAAAGCATCACCATGTACAGATTTATCTCAGTACCGTAAGATGCTACAATGAAAACATTGCTGAATAGAACCGAGGAGAGAGCTATGTATCTGGAAGTTTTTTTTTTCCAAGGTACATGTACATGTATTGTATGATCGAGAGACACGCAGGTGACCAACCTCTCCTGGAATGTACCTTTTTTGTTTTTGATAAATGCACTTACATGTACCTGAAGGCTGTGTGGGCCTACATGTACTTATAATACTTAGATTGAAGCCCCAGTTCAATACAGTGCCGGCCAGCTATTTCCACTTTGGCCTCCCGGAGGAGTTGTTTCCTTCGGGCACTTGTATTAGCCCCCATTTTTTTTTTTTTATTAACACGACACGCTGGCTCTGGTCGTGTGTCGGTGGCTTGTGTTTCATGCTGACGGAGGGGACTGGCCAGGCGCGAGCACTGCCAATGGCCTCCAGTAGGCACCTGGGATCTAGGGAGGTATGCTTATAATCATCAGGCCTGGGCGGCGGCCGAGCTGTAGGGGAAACGGGCGGCAGGGCTGTGTTAATGGAAGCACATCATTCACAAGTGGTTTGGGTGCTAAAAGCAGCGTCCCTCGTGTCCGTTCTCTGGTGGCCGTTCTAATTTCTTTTGCCCGGTACACTCACTGCTGGAATTTGCCCCCCTTTGTCTGTGCTTCCGAATGTTTGTCCAGTGAGTCCAGCGGTGTGAAATTCCATTAAAATGTGGGTCCAGATCAACCCTAATCAAAATATGCTTTTGATGAAATTGCGCGGAACAACGTTTGTGTTTAAAGTTTGTGTACGGTCAAAAGTTGTCATAGACATGTTGAGCCTGGTTCAACTCTGCCGACTGTCTACGTTGAGTTGCCGAGTACATGTACATGTAGGCCTATACAAGCACGCACGCTGGCATGATGGGCATACAACGATGTTCTCCTGCATAGTACCACTCATTTTGTCCATTTTCTCCTTATTACTAGCATATGCAGCCCCGTTCGTCAACAAATAAGCTGACCATTAACGAACTACATCAAACTGGATTATCAGTTTGGCTTCAAGGGGCAACATTGCCACCTAAAAAAAGAGATTTTTGCAAAAATTTTTCGAGTTTCAAACACCATTTTCTTAAATTATTTTGATGGAATGACATCGCACAGCGTCTCTTCCGCAAATGTCTGCGTCTTGATGTCTTGCAAACCGCCTGCGTTACAAACGACCATATGGAAACCAGACATTACAGCGAATGATTTAGTTTTGAATCATAGTTTCAGTCTTGCAAGCTGACCTTTATGAAATTACCAAAGAAACCAGTAATGCTATTCTTTTATTGACTTGTCACATGTAACAAGTAAATTCAAACTGCAGCTAACCTTGCCAGGTTTGAAATTTAATAATTGATATACTACGTGTAGCACCGTCATCGGTAACATTTTGAATCTGTGCATTTTCAAAAGGATGAGGAAACAATATTTTTTTATTATCCAGTGAGCATTAATGCAAGAAGATAGATCTTCTTTTTGCAGAATTCATGAAAACTGTGCTTCTCCAAGTTGGGTGCATTTACATGTACATGTACTGCTGATGAAGCTGGTATCAATTTTTGTGCTCATTGAGATGCCTCGAAAATGCAGATACATAGTACGTGTACTGGTAAAGGCTGTGGCCTTTCTGGAGCTCTCTGGTTGTTAGCCAAGGGTAGACTTTAAGAGTGGCTGGACTGGACAGATCCAAAAAGAGAACCTGGCCTCGCCAGTACTGCCCATGGTACCGGTATTTATATGTACTTTCCCGGACCACTGCCTTGATTAGAGCAGAACCTTGTGCCAAGAGCTTGTTCAATCAAGACACACACTTGATTCCAGACCTAGCCAACCCCCTCCTCCCAGCTACATGTACATGTAGTACAGCATCTCACCTTGTCTCACACTTCTCTGTCTCCCTTGGATAGAAACTTCTGGAGGTAGCGCACGACCTGTTTGAGGAGCAAACATGCCTGGATAACGTGGTGCAGAAGATCATGCAGCGGGCCCAGTCCCTCCTGAAGTGTGAGAGATGCTCGGTCATGCTAGTCAAAGATCCCACTGCTGAGGTAAGGCCTAGAGTGAATACCTGCCTTAGTGTGTAAACTTAACCCGCTGCCATGCGATATTTGCTGATGCTCTATCTCAGAGTTCAATTCTGCCCAGCAAATGACTTGAGGCCCAGCAAAGTACAGGTATATCAGCTCAATAGGAAACTTAGTAAAGCTCACCTTTCAATAAATTTGAGGTCGCATCGGAATAACCAACTGGCTGCGGCTAGGGGTAGCACATATGCTATGAGAAGTTGCTATTGCTGGTTGTCAGCGGCTTTCCTAGGAGTGTGCAGTATTTCCAGCGGCAGCCCCAACTTTCAGTCACAGCATTATAGTTTGAGCATAGCAATTGACCGGGGTGGGATGTGAACCCCTGACCACGATAACGCTCTTTTTGATGCTCTGCCAAGTGAACCACTTGCATCCTGCTTGATGTTGGTTTTCACCCAATCTAGCCGACAATGTATTCATTAAAAAACAGAAAGGAATTTAAGAAAAGAGAGACCTGGAATGTGAGACCGAATCGCTCAGTTGGTAGAGCTCTGCTGCGGCATTCCAGAGGTTCCAGGTTCAGCTCCAACTCGAGTCAGTTTCTTTGCTCAATGTATATATATGGTACATGCAGTACTTACATTTTTATTCAGGTTTGTTTGTCACAGTGCTGCTTGTCACTGTTGTCTCTTTTGTACATGTATCTGTCTAGGTTCTATTTACCAATACATACATACATACACTTAAGTGTTAAACAGGTAGAGAGGTTCCATGTACCGGTAGCATATTGTAGTTTGCCTACAGGTACATGCACATGTACATGTACGTACAAGTGCTTCAGTGTTCTCTTGTCAAATCCAATTAACTGGTGAGTGCAATCACGCCTTGAACAAGCCATCAAACTGAGCACTGAAGGGTACTGGTTCATTGTGATGCCATTGGAGGAAATGTGAAAAAAACAAGAGAATTCATAAGAAGACTGAATGTATGGGCTTGATCAATTTGTTCTTGATCTGCCCCAGCTCTGGCATTTATTGCTTCAACGCAACCTGGGAGCCTTTCTGATTGAATTGCACAAAATCTGAGTATATATGCACCATTGCATGCGCCTACGCTGTCTGCATGCAGTCTGGTGATTAAAACTTGTGAGTCTCACGGAGTCTTCAGGAGCCACTGGGAGGTTTGGGGAGGATGTCATTGGATTTAAGAAAGGGGAAGCTAGCCTCTTTGACTTCACATTCATGCTCGCATCTTTTCAGAAGACTTACTGATTTCCTCTGTACAGTGCAGTGCGGATTACATCCTTGTCATTTTGACTTCAGAGTACATGTCGATCAGGGAGATTGGGAGTAGGGATTTAGGTTGAAGCAGTAAAACCTACATGTACACAGAGCTCTCAGCTTAAACAGTTTGCCAAAGAAAAGATCCTCTTTTAGACCTTCCAAGGTTTGTTATGGTGCTGTGGTTGTCTCACAACTGGCATTCAAGTTCACCGTGTGAATTCCCTGAACCACACTTTTTTCAAAAAGGTTCATACGGACATGTTGTATTTTGCTGGGTTGAATCTGCGTGTGTATTATGCCCTTGATGTGGGAGCATGTCCTGCAGATACCGGGGTATCACAAATGAGCCTCTCCTGGAGTTCAGAGTCACCTTCATGAGTTCTTACGTTTACAGTGTACTTTGAGATCCATTTCGGCAACAAAAACTCCCAAAGTGTTGACCCATGGTTTCTTCATGCAACACGAAATCCATGTACCGGTACTTTTACAATGTTCAGACCATGTTTATACGGTACACCTGAAGCTGTACTTGGAGATGCCTCTTTGGCAAGAGTGCATGACTCTCATATCGTTTGCCTCTCTGAAGAAGTCTGTCAGGTTGCTGTTCAACTCGTTGGGCAGCTAGACAAAGGATTATATTTCTTTCCTGGGGACCAACACTAACTTCCCATTGCGGTCATCTTGGAGAAGGCGAGGGTAAGGAGATACCCACATGATGAAAATTGTTCCTAGTGTGCGAGAGAAGTATAGGCACAGGTAGACCTCACGCCTACACACATGCGTATACGGGGGAACTTGAACTCCCAGGGAGCTCGGAAAACACTCTTGAGTAGTGACGCACAACTGGCCCTTGCGATCTCCCATTGCCGGAGGCTAATTAAGGGTCTGACTCGCACACTTTCCCAAATTAGTAAAACAAATGGTTATTTTTGTGGCGGCGCGCTCTGATAGCGATCTAATGAGATACCCAATCCATCACCATTGCCCCAGTGCAAGACGAATGGAAGCAAACACGACCTTTGGTATCTCCCTGCTGGAGTATTAGTTAACATTTGTCTCTGGGTGAGCTCATCACTCCTTGAGAGCAGGTACAGACCTTTTTTTTCCGTTTAGCAAGATATACATGTATGCTCTTGTGCACTTTGAGTCTGTCTTGTTCTCAAACTGCAGTCTAGAGCATACATGTACTGTAGCTCATTTCTTTTTGAATTTTGGTTTCTTTTAGTGTGCCAGAAACTGAACCAGTACATGCACATGTAGTACACAGTATTTGTTCTCACTTGAGGCTAATGTACAACCAATTACATGTACAACACTTGATCTTAGGCTCCCTGATAAGTCTAAAAAGATATTTCAGAATGCAACAAACATGCACTGCTTTGAATGCCGCAAAGATGCAGCCTCCCCTGTTAAAAAAGTGGAAAATCACCATTAAACTGTAGGCCTATTGGAGAAACTTGCTGTGAATATATACATGTACATAGGACCTGAGCTTTTACAATCTGTGCCATTGGTTGAGTTATGCACTTTGTTTCTTGTAAATTTGACATTAATAATGTAATGTACAGTGTACATGTATGCTGTATGCATTGGGTGTCTTGTCCATGTTGTCCATGGTGTCACAGTATACTTTGCCTTTAACCTGGTACCTGGGTTTTTGACAATGTCAAGTTTCATGTTGTGTCTTATGTAAATCAGTGTGTTTTGTTCCATTCCTCCCGTTTTCTTTACAAAAGCGGCTGAAACAAATTTCCTAATTTTTATACAGTGTATCCTCCATAATTATACATACTACATTTATAAGGGTAGAATTTCAACATCATGTTTTTATTGCAGATTTTGAAAAACAACTTGATTGTTTGTAAAAAAACCCAGCTTTTGTCATTCTTGAACAAGGATGCAAGCATGTCAGGGGAAAAATTCACTTGAAAAGTAATGTGTGTAGATTGTAAATTTACAGCCTTGATTAATGTTTGACTTCACACTGCTCAAACTCAACTATATTGAAATATTGCTATCTGTATATGAAACTAATCAAACAAATCGCTCCAGTCTCTAACCTGTTGTACGATACCTGTGCAGTCGGCAAGACTAGTATCATTGCATTGTACGGTAATTTGGCAACTCCCTATACACTTCTCACTGCTGTACTTCGGTTGATATTTTCTGAGATTAATCCAGAGAGATACAACATCTTCGGCGCACTTGCTGGGCTGCTTCACAGCTCCCCCCCTCCCAATTCTGTTTGCTCGTCCTGTAATTGTGCATGACGTGATTATTTCTGCTTAATTATTGATTCCAACGTTGATAAGCAATTCCCCGCAGATGTGACCTGGGCGCATCATATTGCAATTTATCCAAAGAGATGTTTAAAATGCCATTACTGGGTGCGTGGGGTGCAACGTGTTTGTTCGTCCTAATGTGGCCCGAGTGTTCAGTGCGCGATTCAGTAACAGATCCATGTGGCAAATTTCAGAGATCCTGTGAGATGATTAGTTAATATTTCAAGAGGAGAAAATTGTCCTACATGTACATGTAGGATATTCAGACTTCTTTATTAAAAGATCTGCATCATTCCTCTCTTTTTTTATATAAGAATGATGAGGTACACGTACATGTGTACCGGTACATACATGTACATGTAGATTGTTTCAGTATGTATTGTTGTCAGTTTAAAGGGTTTATCAGGGGATCGATTGTCCTTTTACTCATCATTATTTGCTCAACACAATTTGGATCAGTTACACCAGTAACTTTTCATGAAACTTAATGCCTCAAGTTATGCCCTGTTACATATGTGGAAAATCTGTTACAGAGATCTATCGGTATACTAGCACACTGTACACTCGTTTACGTACAAGTACCAGTACATGTTAAAGCATGGTTAAAGTACATAATATCATCCCTTGAATCGGTTTACTCTGGCAAGTATATGAATCTCCAGATGCCGATTTATCCACACACAAACAACTGGCCCACTTGACATACGGTACGTGTACATGTACATGTATGTATGTGCATGTACAGTACATGTAGTTGCAGACTCAGATAATTTTACCACAGCTGTACAGTACCGTACGTGCTATGTGTCCACAGTGCAGCTCCTACATGTACCTGTACATGTACCTTCCCAGCTAGCATTGATACGCAGTCGTATTCCCGGCGTTGTTTTGACTTTGGTAAATGGTCAAAATTTGGACATTTGCCTGCCAACGTTCAGTCAGTTGGCAATTGGTTTGTATAATTGATGCTGTGGTTGCCGACGTTGAGCCGACGTTAGCGTCCTGTATGCAATTTGAAGTCGGCATGCCAACTCTGTGCTGACGTTGGCTATTGGTTTGTACATGTATATTTGACGTTGAGTTGCCGACGTTGTGCCGATGTTAAGCACCCAGTATGCACTTTTACGTCGGCATGCCAACTGTATGCTAAAGTTGGTGATTGGTTGTATATTTGACGGTTATCACGCCAACGTCGGCCAACGTCGGTCCAACGTAAGCACGCTACCTGGGTTGTAACTTGGAACATACCAGTATACACATACAGTATGTATAAATGTGCACATGTACATGTATAATCACAGTCCAGGCACGTGCGTACTGGGAAATATTGTTGTGCTGTCCCGGTACACGTACGCACATTATACACGCTTCGTCCGAGACGCCTACATGGACCCATCACAAGCTGGTCTAGCGGTTGAGGTGAGCCGATCGCCGCTGACCAATCGCTGAGGTGCATCAG